TTCAAAGTCAGGATAAAAAGAATGCAAATTGATGAATGTGTAAGTTAAAAATTAAAAGATCCTGAAAGTAACTAATCTTTGGGAGCAAAATGTCTATGACATGTAGACTGTATCTGAAAGTGAGAACTATATGTTTCATGTGTACTAAATGTATAGATATAAAACTAGTTATCTAGAGTTAACATTCTGCATATGTAGAATGTATCTGATCAAATGAACAACAATAAAGATTATGGTTAAGTAATATTAAGAGATGCGAGTGTTGACAAGAGCATATTTAATCTGTCCAGTTTGTAGCAAATGAATGACTAGATTTTTTCTTCATGTCTTTAGTATTGTTCTATGAATTTTATGAACTTTTAAATAGATAGAGATATTTATAGTAAAATATTATATTGATATCTCACCTCTTGAAGGTTTAGTCTGTTTATCAAATCCTGGTATACTTCTTTAGGTAAAGTTCCATTGTTGTGTGTCAACAAAAAGTTTGGAACCAATCTACAAAACATAATACACTGGCAAGTAAACACACTCAAACTGTTTTTCAAACATGCATATAAAGTAACTACATCAAGTCAGTAATCATGCTTTAAAATATTAACCTTCAGTGACTGACATTCTCATTTTTAACTATGCTAGGCTGAGAAGAGCTGATACTGTTCAAAACAACTGCAGCTGTCAGATGGTAATGATCTTATTATCCATTATGAGCTACCAAATTTCATATTACAGCTGCAAAATTAAGAAATCTTGACTTTCTAATCTATCTGAATAGGATATACATAAAAACAAAAAGTATATAACAAGCCAATACACAAAGCTAAAAGTACATAAACTTCTACTACTAGGTGAATTCTTTATCAAAAAGTGACGACAGCTGATACTATTGGGAGCTTGGTCACGGTATTAATTTATTATTCAGTGAAAACTAATCATCCCCAAACACCTTTACACTTAACAGTATGAATAACTGTGTACAACATAGTTAATTCCTGATGTCTTTCATCTATAACTTTTGGAAAAAATAGATTAAATGTATATATTTTTTCAGCAATAAACTGCATTAACTTTTGTAATACAAGTTAAAATCAACCATCAGTAGATTTTTGTCAAGAAAAATACTTAACAGATGTGCCGAAATAATTTTGGTAGAAATACAAAGTATAATAAACATTTTCTCTTTACAACTTGACTGGTAAGTTGTGAAATCTCTCCAAGCAAATCAAAAGCAGTGAGTAGGCCTAGTATTTGCCATCTTTAAATGCTTTATAATCTTGTTCATTAGTTATGCTTTTAAAACAAACGTTTCAAAGAATCCCAATTATATAACAAAATATGTTACCTGAAAAGATGAAGAACAGGTTCATATCTAGAATGATAATTCTGTAACCAATGAATAATCTGTTTGGGAGCAAGTAGATCAACAGGAGAATTTCTCTCTCCCTGCTGTATGAATGCCAAGTTTCTGGCTTTCAGAACTTCAATCAAGCCCTGTTTTCAAATATTACAAAAACTGTAAAGTTAATACTTTGTATCTTAAATCTAACAATAAATGTTCATTTTTATTATTTTCTATATCAGAACAATATCTGTGGTCAAAAAAACATAAAATTACTGTTCAGAAATCTTTATAAAACAATTACAAACCATTACTTGTTAGGTCTTAAGAAAATTTAGAAAATCTGATTCAGTGACAACATGAATCACACAGAGTGAGATACGGTATATAAATGATATAATGGTAAAAGGTCTTTTATAATTAACCATAATCTTTGCAATAATAAAATAAGCAGGGACTACCTATTAGCTTCCCAGAAATTAAAGGATGAGGATGACTGAGTGACACTAGTAACAAAAGGTACTAAGAACTAATTGAGTCTTAAATTATACATCTTCCACTAATTTCATCATTTTGTGATATGATCACATGAAATTCATATCTTATTTATTTCTTCCTACATAAAGTGTTCAAATATTTTTATGTGAACGGTAAGCTAACTGTAATACAGTACATGTTATTTTTATGAAGGAAACTAGATACAGAAAAGATAGGGGGAGTAATTGATTTATTTGAAATACATTTTAACTTAAAATCCATAATGTAAATATGATGACTTCTCTGGTCAAATGGGAAACTAAAATAAGTAAATCAAAGAGGAAAGTGAGGAAAGCATTTGTTTCAAGCAAAAACAAACAAACAGATAACTGAGTGTAAGTGGAAAACTGCAGTTAAAAACAAGGACTCCTTAAGAGCTTCAATAAAAATACTTCCAACACTAGTTGAGTAATAAATAATGATTTAGGGCTGACAAACATACATAAATACAGATGTTGTGTAACATTTAATATAAAAACTTGGAAGATCAGGCAAACAAACAACAAATGGCTAAAGGTCAAAATAAGGTAAATTTATACACTATAAAAGAAGGAAAAAGAGAGTAAAATGTATAAAAGATTATTCAAGACCAACATGAGTGACACACATTATATAAATATATGATTGTATCAGAAACTTGTGCAAAGCTACACAAATACTATCTCTACTAGCCAACCTTAACTTTTAACTGATAGACTAGAAGGCAACTAGTGAACAGCACCCACTGCCAACACTTGGACTACTCTAATTGAATAGTGAGTGAGATCTAACCATCCTTCTTATAAAGCACCCACAGCCTAAAAAAGAATGGAGCAATGATTTTTGTTTTTTTCAGTAACAGAAATATAAATTATAAACTGGTAAAAAATCTAAAATCAAGCATAAACTTAACAAAAGAAAATAAGCAAAGCCCAACTATTAGATAACCAGAAAATGAAAAAGGAAGATGAAAATGAGGAGTTGTGGTAAATGAGATGACATCATACTTAACACAGACAGGCAGATTAAAGGAAATGAATAAATCTCATTCTCGAATAATGTGAAAACAAAATGAAAAGTGCTACACAAACAGTAAAATTCTTCAACTCTCAAAGAGTTGCCAAAAGCCCACAAAATATGACAAGAACCTTGCTCGAAGTAACAACTTGAATGACTCTTTCTATGTATCAGATATTTTACAACACATTAAAGAATACATGAACACTTTGTATAGAACGATAGAGAATTTATACATATAAATAATCATTCATGAATGAATTTATTGAGATGTCATAAAATTCTAGAAGTAATGAAAAAAAGCCTAATTCAATAGACAATTAAATATTTAACTTATTAATCCTTTAGTATTTTATAACTTGTTCATCATTCTTATTATAAATGGCATTAAGTAAGCACATATATTGTTGTAAGTTTCTATTTATCTGTTCTGTAAGTAAGATATATCATACATTTTTTTAAATGTTGCTTTCATTAACAGTTTTAAAATGTTCAATTATATATCTTTATTATTTGTACTTTTTTTTTATCACTATACTTTTAGCATAAAGATTATTTTGAATTCTTTGTTTATCTCCTAAGCTGTCCAAACTTCATAAAATAATGTTGGGATTAAGGTAAAAAACATCATTAACAGCAAGCATTACCAGCTGATGAAGCATTGTGTTCTGATCTTTATAAGTATGAACATAAGAACAGTATGTTTAATGAGCTATACTCATCATTAGGTTGATTAATTTTAAAAGCTAGCTTTTTCTTATCAGAAGTCAATATTAATTTTACCAAATAACTTACAAGATGGTGGTCAGCATGTAGATGAGAGACAAAAATACAAGAGATTTGACGCAGAATAGAATTTCCTTCTTCTATTCCATAATATCGTAGTATTTGTCCACGTGTTCCTTCACCACAATCTAGCAAAATACTCTTTTGGGGGCTAAATAACAGCAATAAAAAAAAACAAAAGAAAAAACGTTTTATAGCAACTTTTATTTTTTCAAATAAACAGAATAAGAAAAGTCAAAATTGGGAAACAACTAGAAACTGTGAAGTTTATTCCAAATTATTGTAATATTTGTTTACAAGTCTACAAAATAGTTTTTAATTCAAACATACAAACAATACAAGTCATAAACAACACAAATGGCAACAAGATGATGAATCTATTAAAAGGTGCAAAACTATTACAGAAAATACAAAAGAGCAAATGAGTTGTATAATAAACTACTATTTAATATGGGAAACCTTTGCACAAGGCGTTACACATTAGTTTAATGCTGCTATACAGTTTATCAATATGTCCTGAATTTATTTCCCACAATTCAGCCAAGTAGTATGATTATCTTTTGAACTTCTTAGTTCATAAATATGCTCACACAGCCTCAAGAATATTCACAATGAGACTTTATATCATCAAGATATCGTTTTACAGCATCTACCATATGCTTAGGATCACCTTGCTGGAAGAAGAACCCCCACCAAATGAGTAATGTTCCTTAGGGAATGTCATGATATATCAGAATCTGCCGTTAATTGTTAGCAATCAGGGTGCCATTAATTTTGGGTAGACCACTGACAACACTGGTTGAGATGAAGCTCCAAATTTTTACTTATCCCCCACAATGCTTCACCATAGATGTTGTACATTGACTATGATATTTTTGTTCTCTTTGTCATTGATTATTGCCCAACAATTCAATCTTGGATTCATCTATAAATAGCATGTTCTCCAACTACTTGTGTACCAATACTCATTTCAACCTTTTGGTTTGATTGCTTTTCCTCAGCAGAAATTTTCAAACAGATATATGTCAACTAAAACCACTTTGTGCTTAAGTGTATCTCGCTCATCTTGAGGAAATATTCACACCTGTATTTACAGGAAGGTTGTGGGCAATATCTATACTCAACTATCATCTATCTCCTAAAGAACAAACTCTGAAATCCTCAGAACCAGTTTTAACAAATTTTGGTTTTCTACGTTGACTAATTCTATTATTAACAGTTTCAGTTTCATGTACTCTCTTCAGATTCTTGCATACAGTTCTATTGAAACATGCAGTCTTACCATAATGTTTTGTATGGAGTATCCTCAATCACCCAAAACTTTAACTTCCATATGCTTGTCATGTAGAATTTCATTTCTGGAAGCCATGACAATGTTACACCACTACTACTGGGCATAGTATGACTGCATGTACTTTTATATGTTTTATACTGGTGTGGCACTTCCTGATTTGTTGGATGACAACCAATCACACTGTAAACTACCAGCAGTGACTGTACTCTAGTGCAGTTCATGTTCACATGATACAGGGGGTGGCATTCTCATATTATTTGCCTTTTATACCCTTTCTCCACACTATTCAATAACTGTGTATAATACTGCACAAACACACACACACACACACACACACGTATATACACGTTTCAGAATCATCAAAAATGTGAAACAAACGAGTCTGTTGATTAATATCAAAACATCTATTTCGATTTCTGTGTTTCCTTGACATTTTGGGTCATCCATTGTCTAAGTGAATAGCTGGTATCCAAGGTTTATCACTTGACCAAACATGACAACTAAAAAGTACATTAATGACACTGAACTTCAAATGAGTTGTGACTACTGGTCTTAAGTCATTTTGCTTTGGCAGGCACAACAATGATACAGATTATAATATTTTTTTGAAAACATAAAAATTGGAACTGAAGAACATTTAAAATCATGACTGCTTACCAAGTTTCATGTTTGAATACCACTCAGTCCCAGTTTCACAGAGTTTTTAATTTTAGAATATGGTGTGCCACTATTAAAACTTCATTAAAATCTCTTGGCAGAGTTGATTGGACACAGTAGTTGGAAAAATAAACACAAACATAACAATTTTAATAGACATTAGCATATAAATGATACTCAAGTATACATCAGTATGATTAAGGTCTTTAATGGAAAAGAACTATTTTTCTTTAGTATAGTGAAAATATTATGGATTCTCACAGTAAACACACACTCTGTATTCATAACTGTAGTGATATTATCAAATTTAAATAGTTTATACACATATGATGATTCTCATTACATTTTAATAAAATTAAGTTTTCTTAACATAAATATTTACTATATTCACTAAAATACTGGTATTAACAAATTTAAGTGGTGTGTACACACACACGCACACTTAACAATACTTAATAAATACTTGTATCATTATGAATCTCCACTAGAAATAAATTATTAGTTTACTAATCTACTGACATTAATGATATACATGTATAT